CGAGGGCTAGAGCTACTTTCTCTATCTGCTGGTATCTGACCTCAGGGCCTTGTAGTGCTTTGCTCGTAAAGTAGACGGGTTTTTGTCTGTCGGGCGTTTCGCGAATGAGAGTCGCACTGACAGCTTCGTCCGAGACCGCTAGGTATATGAACAATGGTTATCCGAGGGCGGGCCGGGATAGAACGAGCGGTTGGGATAAGCTTTGTTTTAGGTGGCACAACGCCTGTTCACATTCCTCGGTCCATTCGAAAGCTGCTTCCTTACGAAGGAGCTTGAAGAAGGGGAGGGCGTGCTGAGCGGATCTCGCGACGAAGCGGGATAGCAAGGTGAGCATGTCGTTCATGACTTGTATGGATTTTTTTTATGTCGGTTTCGGGAGGTCGGAGAAGGCTCGACACTTGTCAGGGTTAGCTTCGATTCCTCGTTCTGTCAAGTAAAAAACGAGGAATTTCCCTGCCTTGACCCCGAATGTGCACTTCTCGGGGTTGAATCTCATCTTACATTGTCTTGCCTGAGCAAAGACTTCTTTGAGGTGAGTTGCATGGTCAGTATCTGCTCGGGATTTGACGATCATGTCGTCCATATACACCTCGAGCATGTCCCCGATTTGGTTGTGGAATACTTTGTTCATCATACGTTGGTATGTTGCCCCTGCGTTTTTTAGACCAAAGGGCATTACATTGTAGTAATAGTTGCCCGAGTTGGTTATGAAAGCAGTGCAATGCTTGTCGCTCACGGCCATTGGGATTTGGTTATAGCCTGAATAGGCATCCATGAACGACAATATTTTATAACCGGCCGAGTTGTCGACCAGCATGTCTATATTCGATGGAGGAAATGCATCTTTCGGGCATGCCCGATTGAGATCGATATAATCAACACACATTCGCCATTTTCCATTATTCTTTTTTACTAGTACAACATTTGACATCCAGGTTGAATACCGGACCTCAGAAATAAAATTTGCCTCTAAGAGGTCTTTTACAGCTTTTTCAGCAGCCTCTGTTTTCTCAAGGTATTGCCTACACCTACGTTGTACTACTGCCCTAGCGGCTGGATCTATGGCGAGGCGGTGATAGGCGACCTCGGGGTCGAGTCTGGGCATTTCTGCAGCGCTCCATGCGAATAGGTCAGTATTCTCGCGCAAGCAGGCTTTCATCTGTTTCCTCTCCAGGTCGGGGAGGCCAGTACCGATCTTCACTCCTTTGCTCGCGTCCTTGCCGAGGGGGACGAGCTCGAAGTCTCCGTCCGGAATTGGTCAGAGGGGGACTTGCTTGCCGCTGGGAGGCTCATCCTGGTCGAAGCGGGTGTCCAGGGCTATGGAGTCGACCTTTGGGGGAGCTCTCTGCTCTTCTGCCTTGACGGACTCTGTCTCCTCGGGCTCTGGTCGTGTGGTTGCTGGTCTCTTGGCGGGTCTTGTTCCGGTGTCGACCGTGTCGCATCCCTTGGATGTTGCGTTGAAACATCTTCGGGCAGCTGCTAGGTCACCTTGGATAGTGGCGACCCGTGCCCTCTTGGTGTAAAACTTCGTCTTCAAGTGGACGGTAGAGGGTACCGCGGTCAATTCTGCCAATGTTGGCCTTCCTAAAATGCAGTTGTAAAGGGACAGGCAGTCGATGACGAGGAAGCGTACCTTGACCTTCCTGGTCTCCGTGTCCTTGCAAAAGGTAACCATGAGCTCGAAATATCCCCAAGGTTTGGAGGTTGAGCCGTTGAAGCCCTGCAGGTCTGACCCCACATAAGGTGAGAGGTGTGAGTCGTCGAGCTGCAGGGTCCGAAATAGTTGACTGTACATTACATCGATGGAACTTCCTTCGTCGACGAGGATACGGTGTACGTCAAAGTTTGCCATTCTCACTCTTATTAGCAGCGGAATGACCGCGTTGGGGGATCCTCCGGGGAGTTCTTCTAGGTAAAAGGTGATAGGCTCCGATCTACCTTTGACCCTTTCAAAGGTCACCGTTTGAGGAGGCGCAGCGTCGACCAATTCATCTAGCTTCCTCTTGGTTGAATTTATGGTCAGGTCGTTGAACCCCCCACCATTGATGACCATGGCAGAGGGAAAGTGCTCCCATCTGCTGTGTGTCAACATCAGATCTTGCAAGTGTTTGGGGACATAAAAGTCCTCGAGTCTGGTGATGGAGAAGGCGGTCTGGATGGGGACCGACTCGTCGGATGGTCGAGCATCTTCCTCTGCTTCCCTTGTCTCACGGGCGTCGCAACGAGGAGCGTCGTTTCACCGGTACTGGGCGAGCCTCCCCCTTTATGAGGGTCTCGATGGCGTCCTTGAGGTGGACGCAGTCCTCCGTCAGATGACCATGGCTCCTATGGTACTGACAATATTTGCTCCTGTCTACCCCGGGCTTGGCAGGAGCTGGTTGGGGGCGCTTGACGCCACCATCCTTGAAATCTGTACTAGCACACTCCGCCAAGATGCGCTTGCGGGAAGCCGCGAGCGGAGTGTACTCTGTGAAACGCCCCGAGGGCCCTCTATGTTCTCAGACTTCACTGGGGTTTGTCGTCTTTTATTTTCTCCCCGGTCCGTCGAGGAGGAACAGCTTCTTGGCGCGGGTTGCTGATGGATCCGCGAGTTCTGGGGTCACGGGCTCTGTTGGCCGCTTCCCTTTCCTCGTAGTCCATGTAGGCCCTGGCCTTCTCGAGGAGAGCATCGAATGTCCGGGGCGGTTCGATGCCCACTGCTTTTCTGAGCTTTGTGCTGGGGAGGAGTCCCCTCTCTAGCAAGTATCTTTTCATGTGGTCCGCGCATGGGACCTGGATGGCTTCACAGTTGAAGCGGTTGATGAATTCTCTCAAGGTTTCATCTGCCTCTGGACGATAGCCTCGAGCGCCGCTTCGGTCTTTGGATGTCGCAGTGACGCGGTGAACGAGCTTATGAATTGGTTTTTCAAGTTTCGCCACGAGGTGATGGACCCTGGGGAAAGACCCTTGTACCAATCCATCGCTGCTTTCCTGAGGGTTGTGGGGAACAACCGACATTTGATGGGTCCCCCAATGTTATGGTAGTGTAACATAGCTTCGAACCCGTCTATATGATCGACCGGGTCGGTGACTCCGTCGTATTCCTTCAGGTGAGGGGGCTTCTCCATGCTCGGGGGGATAGGCGCCTCCATGATGGCTTGTGACAGGGGACCGCGGGGGTCGTCCTCGTCACTTCGCTCTGGGGAAAGGGACGGGGACCTGAGGTACTGTCGGGCACGACGACCATGGTCGTGTTGGACGTCCCTCGAGCGGTGCGCTCGTTGTTCTTGTTCTTGCTGTAAAGGGTCATGGTTGCGCCCTCCGGCTTTGATGATTGGTTCCCTCTCCAAGGGGGGTCGTCTCCCAGGTTGTCGGGATGACGGGCTTCGGGAGGCGTCTCTATATTGTCTCCGCGGGGGAGACGGGAGAAGTACCTATGTTCTTCGAGGAGGAGGGATCTGAGGCCTCATGTGTCTCCTTGGGGGTCTCCTGTCGTCCTCTAGCGCCCTCAATCTTTCCCACTGGGCAAAGATGAGGTAATTGGTCTGGTTGATTGCGACGAACAGTGCTCTGGTCGTGGCGTCTGCCCCGACGGGGACAGGGATCTTTTGGAATTGGGCGACCATATGGTTTGGGGGAGCTGTAATGTCTTCTTCGAGCGGAGGGGGGACTGGAGAAGATGAGTCCGTGGCCCCGTCGCGGTGGCCTGAGGGCCCGAGGATGACGCCCCCGGGGAGTGTATTATGGTCGGGGTTGCCGGCGTTGTCGGGGATTCCGTTCTTGTCCGCGAGATTGTTGTTGGCATTGACGATGCAGACGTTCTGATCTTCTTGAGTTTGGTCAGCCATGACGGTGGGAGATAATTTTTAGCTTTGGTCTTCGAAAGTTTGGAAGACGGGGGAGCTTAGCTTCCCACAGACGGCGCCACTGATCTTATCGGATCAGACTTGGACCGTCACAGCTGGCTCGAACTGGTTTTGAGAGAGAAGGGGGGGGGGGGTACCTGTAAGACACTCCGATGCCAAAATGAGAGACAGAATGAGCATGCAAAAAGTATATAGGCGTGTGATAGATGAATACCTGACCCTATTGGAATAAAGAGTATTTATAGTCCCCAGCGCTGGGCCAAGGTCCCCTCATTGGGCTGGCCAGAACTGGCCCAATAAAGGAACTGTCCGATTCTACGTGTGTAGTGGGGACCCGTACGTGGTCCCCTTCCTGGGTGGTGCTATGCGAATAATGAGGAAGGACAAAGATGCGGTCTTTCTGGAGCTTTGAGGATTCCATAACGGTTATAATGGACAGAATCTGCCCTACGGGGAGGGTGCTCGAGCTGGACTCGAGCTCGAAGTCCCCTGGTCGGGAGGCTGCTCACCAAGGGCAACGACGGGCGTTGCAACTGTAGTCTGTGGTCGGGCACGTTCGGTGATGGTTTGATTGTGAGCATTCCCCGAGGAGCTGCTTGGACCTGAGCCTTTATTTGCACTTTGGGCCAAGGTGGACCCAGTCCAGAACAATTATATATCGTAACTATATGAATGTTGACCAACTAAATACATGAAATAAATTCACGGGTAGATGTAAACATATATACGAGATACCATCTATAGACGATTCATTTTAATGTACATTTATGAGATACCAGTTGTAATATCCAGTTTATTATAAGTACAGATCAATTATTAAAAATTTAAATATTAATTAAACCAATTGAAAAATAAATTCAATCGATATAAATGATGATTTGATATAAATGTAGTGTGAATCCAGACAAGACGCGTGCGATAAGAGGATTAAAAGTAAAATTGTAATTGATAGGAGTTAGTGCTTTGAATTTTGTCGTGTTGCCACTTTATGCACTTATTTATTAATATTATACACCATAATATAATTTTAATAAAATATCTATAAAAAAAAAGAAGCAATTGCAGCTTATCCTAAAACCCATAAACCCTATCAATAGCAACAATGCACCGAAACGAAAGCATAACAATTGAATAAAGCACAGCTCTTCCATTTCCATGGCAATTTCCACCTTAAAGTTAGTCTGCAAATCCAATCTTCATCTTCGTCCTCTCCCATTCCAATGTGTCCGCAAGGTACCACCTTCTCAAATCCAATCTTTCTCTCTTTTTTATTTTGTGTTCAATTGTTTCTTTCCTGTTTCTAGGTTTCTGTTGAACCAGATGAATGTAATAGAGTCCTAAATCAAAAACAAGGTAAGTGAAATTACTCATGATTTATCAACTCAATTGGAGAACAATAGAGTTTTATTGACATTTTTTTATTTTTAATTTTTTATCAAGTTAATAAGAAGCATCCACCATGGAAGAAGTTTAATTCCAAAGAGCTTGGGTTTCGAAATTCTATGATTGCTAGTCCGATTAAAAAGGTTCTTAATGCGTTGAAGAAAAAGGGTATGTCCTAAACTTGATGTTGTTGTTGTTGTTGTTGTTGTTGTGTATCCTAGCAGATATTAGACATAGTTCATTATCAATGTGAAGTGTGAAAAATCCTGCCTTTGACTTATATTTAAAGTAAATAGTCATGAATTTTTCACTTGTGAGTTACATTATCAAATGATTAAAATTGATCAGAATTTCTATCCATAATCGTTCTTCCGGAACATCTTTATATGTATCTGGAAATATTAATCTTTATGCTGTGATATCTGTTTTGGTGCATCTGTGGGCATTACTTAAGTGTGAAATTCCAAGTCCATAGGTGGTAACTCTTTTTCTTGTAATTGTAGGGTATAATGTTTACCTTGTAGGAGGCTGTGTACGGGACCTGATACTAATGCAGACACCAAAAGATTTTGATATTATAACTTCAGCGGATCTTAAAGAGGTTATCTTAATTTCCTATTCCTATCTTATTTTAAATTATTTGCTTACAGATTAAGAGCAAAGTTATAAGCAGTTAGAACTTATACGGCATCAAGTGTTTTTATATTGGCATATGGTGTTTTTCTATAAGGAGTGACTCAGATGAGGACATTTGGTTATTGTGATAACTGAGAAATGAGAACAAACAATCATAAGTGCAAGATCAAAATTAATTAAAACCAAAAGGTCTAGATTATTCTAATTCTATGCTCTTCAATGATGTTGAATCATTTGAGCGATTGCTGCACTATTTTGATTTGTTGTTTTCTAAATAGTACCCCCAATGCTTTGTGCTGCAAAGACTTAAAAGGGAAAAACTATGGCTGAGGCGATGAAAGGAAGGGCCATTAGTTTAATCTGATAGTTGTTTTTGTTTGTTCTCATTTCTCACAAACTAAATGTTCTCACTCGAGTCACTCCTTTTATATATGTTTATATTTGATCTCTCGCATTCAAAAGACACTGTTTTTGACTAATCAGATTCGAACTGAGTAGACCTAGTTAAAGAAGTAACAAAACTCTCCCAGCCTTGTATTTTTCCACTCACAGAATTTGAATTTGAGACCTTAAGGGAAATAGAGTTCCTTATCACTCAAACTAATAGGCACTGGTTGTAGACTTTGCATAAAATCTAACTTCTAAATTGAAATATATGTTCCGTGCTTGTAGTCTTCTAACCTTAACTTTGCTTGGTGAATTTTGACTCAATTTTTAGGTGATGAGAACATTTTCATGGTGTGAAATAGTTGGTAAAAGGTTCCCAATATGTCATGTTCATATAGATGGTATCATCGTTGAGGTTGGTATATTTCTATGTTTCCCAATCTGTTTTTACCTTTGGTTAGTCATCTCTACTGTGGGTGATTGCTTGAATTATTTCCTACTCTTCTTTTCTTGATAGTTTTATTCTCTCTTCCCATTAGGTTTCAAGTTTTAATACTACCACCAGAAGCAAGCCTGGTAGACACTTCACTCATGATATCGAGGCACCTAAGGGATGTGACAAGGAGGACTATCTTCGTTGGAGAAATTGTTTGAATAGAGATTTTACAATTAACGGGTAATGCACCAATTCTTTCAATTTCAAAATCAGAAACTCTATTCCCTTTATTGTTTTGCTGCAAATGTTTGTTTATGACATTTCTACTATATATACAATAGAGCTCTTTCTGCTATTAACCAAATTTAACTCTTTCAGGTTTATGTTTGATCCATTTGCAAAAATTGTATATGATTACACTGGAGGAATGGAAGATATTATAAAAGCGAAAGTGTGCATGTATCTCTTTGATGCCGTGGTTTCTTATATTTCTTTTTTTTAATCAGAAATTTAAACTTCCCATCCTAATTTTATGTTAACAGGTCCGAACCATAGTTCCTGCAGCTACTTCTTTTCAGGAGGACTGCGGTGAGTTTTGCGTGTCACAATATAAAAATTTATTTTCTCACCATTATTCATATTTTAGGTTGTGTAAACTTTATTGAACATACCTTCTCTTCTGAATAGTGAATACATAGATCTTTCTGCCTCCATTTGTTTCTGCAGCTCGCATTCTTCGTGCAATTAGAATTACCGCTCGCTTGGGGTTTAGTATTTCAAGTGAAACCGCTGGTTCTATTAAAAATCTTTCATATTCAGTATTAAGACTTGATAAGGTATTTAAAATGCTATTTCTTCTCTCTGCTTTATCCTATACATAGACGAGGATGTTATGCAGCTTAGGTGTCCCTCTTTAACTGTTTTTGCCTTTTAGGGTAGGCTTCTGATGGAAATGAATTATATGCTAGCATATGGGTCTGGTGAAGCTTCTTTGAGGTTATTATGGAAATTCGGACTTCTAGATATTCTTCTTCCTTTTCAGGTAGTTGATGATTCTGCATTCTAATTTCTAAAACTTAATCATGGGAATGCTAGCTCAGTTCGCTTTTGACAATACAGGCTCTTTATTTTGTTCGTAATGGATTTAAGAGACGGGACAAGAGAATGAATATGCTTCTGGTAACTCCATTTCTCTTTATGAAGTTTATACTGAAAACTTGCAGGATTCTAGTTATGTATTGATGTAATGATTGGTCTATTGGTAATACCATACAAACGACAAGTTTCTTAGACTACTCAACTTTTTGGTTATAAGCACATACTTGCTCTGTTATCCTCGATCTTTTGTCCTTTAAGGTTTGGGCACACATATTAAGAAACAAAAATTTAGTTCTTGTAAGAGTACACAAGGAAAAACATGCTAAATTGTATCTTAGTTTCCTAAAACAATCAAAGTTTTGGAACTAAAATAAAAAGCTTAGAAGACCATACATTAGGGACAGAAGGAGTATATATCTATGAACTAATGAAATTCCTTCTTCCCTACTTTTACGCAATCCTTGCAAAGTATTAAACCAGAATATGCAGAGTGTTGAGTTCCTTGGTTTCACTACCTGAGGATATTTGAATGTTTATTTTTATCAAACATCTAGAGTAACTAGACTAATTAGCATAATTAGGTGCCCGGTGTTATTTGAGTAATTTGGTATGTGACTTTGAATAGTGAAGAGATTCTCCTTTTAAAAGAGAGACAGAAGACTTTCGTGTTCTGAACAGAAAATGGAAGGGGCTAGTGTGGGGGTTTATTTTTCTTAATTTGCATATGGCTTGGTAGATTATCTTAGAAATATTCTGTTTTACTTGAATAGAAATTTAAAATGCATGACATGTTTTGCACCATTGTGACACATTTTTTATTGGACTTTTGGAATTTGATCTGCAGTCTTTCTTCTTTAATTTGGACAAACTTTTGGCACCTAACCGTCCATGTCATAGCTGCTTATGGTAAGATCCCTGCAACAACAATGCCCTTACATATTTTTATTTTCTAAAATTTGTGTTAATTTTACTTGCTAACATGGAAAACTCGACTCCTGAAATGAACAATCGTGTGCATTTTTTTAAAACAAGGAAAACGCCAAAAAAATATTGCATTAATTATTTTTATAAATGTGTCATTCCTAGCTTGCATTTTACCTTCTCTCCATCACAATGGTTCACTTTAAGAGTCTCGCATCTTATGAATAAGTTAAAATGAGCACATTTTAAAATGAAAAATAGGAAATGTTTTCATAAAGTAAACGAGACCTTAGTTTCCTTATTCATATTTAGTTTCCTTATTCATATTTAGTTTCCTTATTCATATTTATCGAACTCAAGCCCTTTACCAATAACTTTATTGTGTTATGAAGTTGTTCAACTTTTAAAATTATCCTGTTGCTATTACTTTGTTAAATTTCCATTCCCTATGCTTGCCATGGAATATTCTATATTATCTTTACATGATCTTAGCCCGATACTTTTCCACGTGCAATAACGTATCTAACTTGGAGACGGTTTGAGATCTTACATGAGATGAGACCCAGGGTTTTTTACTCTCATATGCATAAAGAGATGATCTCTAACCATAGGGTAAAGTTCTTTCTGTGATCATCTATTCCATCTTTTGCCTTGGGGGGAACTAGTTTTTGTCCACGAGGCCAAAGCTGTTTCTCAGTACCATTGAATTTGGGTGCCAAGATGAAGAGCATTGCACCTGCTTCAAAGAATTTATGTTTTCTATATCATTGCGGTTTTCTATTTTTTTTTTAAATCAACGCCAGGTTTCAGTTCTTCAGAAATTTATTTTCAAATTGATGCTTTTGGAGCCTTTTATTGAAGTCAGTTATATATATCTAAATTGTTGGGTGTCTTTTACAAATTAATTTTCTCTATGTATTGAGTTTTCTTTTCATACTTCTCTTCAATGTTAAGAATAGATTCTAAAAAGTGAAAATGTAAGAACTGTTAGTATCCATGTGATATAAATATCAGATATACCTGGCTAGAAAGATTTACAAGCTGATTTAGATGTTGGGTCATCACGGCAAGACTCATAAGGAATCTATGCTTTCAGGGTTGTTATCCTTGCATTGCATAAATCTTTGAATGATAAACCAAGGAATCCCTCGGTGATTGCTGCATTTAGCCTTGCAATTTATAATGGTGGAAATTTGTTGGAAGCGGTAGACATAGCTAGGAGAGTCAACAAACCACACGATACCAGATTTCCTGAATTATCAGATCCCTACGATCTAAATGCAAAGGCTATGGAAAATGAAATTTTAGATCTTGCAGAGACTGTTAAAGTGTCATTGTTGCAGATGACATCAAGGCACTCCGTAGCTCGAGCTATGGCTGACTATCCTCAAGCCCCTCAGTCAGATATGGTGAGCATGTCTTTTACGTTGATTTTACACATACTTCTCTACATTATTATCCTACAGATGGACTGGACTAGAATATTATTGGACTTGATTATCTGATAATCTGATTGTGTTTTATGAATTTGGGCTATCTTTGTTGATGTGTTGGTTAGTTGATACTGATTAACATCATTAGTCTGTAGTAGTTTGTATTATTAATCTTTGACAATTTAACAGGTGTTCATCTCGATAGGAATGTACCTAAAAGCTCTAAGCATTTTTGACTGTCTGGAAGCAAGTGGTTATAAGAAATTCTCGTCCAGGAAAGTCAAAAAAATTGATTATGAATCCTTAGCTCGTGGTGACCTGCTAGAAACACGGCACTTGTTTGCAAGGATTGTATTTGACACTGTATATCCACCAAGCCTTGGTCAGTCCTAAATGGTTTGAAGTTTTATTGGACACCGGGAGAAAATTGATGCTGGAGTAAACATTCAAGCATAGTGGATTGGCTAGTCGGATCAAAATTGGAACAGAAGTGCCGTGAAGGTCGGATTCCAGCATCTGGCATCTGAGTGGTACTTGCAGAAACTATCACCAGCTTCTGGATGGGACTTATCTTGCTATGCAAGGTATCTAACTTGAAGAGTACTTAGTTGGCGAGAAAAACCATATAAGAGGAAAACGCGGCCATCTCCCAAAGTTAACCTATTTATTTTTTGTTCCAATTTATTTATTTTAGTCATAGAATAATTCTTTTATAAAGTATGAAACTTCCATATTGTTCTTACTGTTATGCTTGCAAACGTTATAGTACTAAAATTTAACATTACTATTGTATGTACAACAAATTCAGATGGCAAAGTCTTGAAATTAAAGTTCAACATTATGAATTGTTCAGTTCACGAATGAAAAGTAAGTAGTCACTGTAAATAGGAATTGCTTAAAAGTTAAAGACTACAAAACATGCTTTGTCCTCCCTTTTATTTTCTTTAAAAGCCAATTTCTTTAGCCAGTTGTTTTACTCTTTTAGCTCAACAATGCAAAAGAAAATAAAGATGAGAATTTTTACACTAATATTAGATGCAGTACATTTGTTTTTCTACACATGCCCAAAAAAACGTCATAGCCTCCTCAACATGACTAAAAAGCATAGATATGTCTTAGAATGTGTGAGTTGAGTCTAATTCAACCATACAAAACCAGTTTATAAGGTGAGAATTGCCTTCACTTATAAACACATGTTCAGGTTATATATTGTCCGATGTGAGATTTTTAACAATATGATTAAATTAGAAAAATTCAAACTGTTGTTGCATTGACAACCGAGTGAGAGTAATAAAAAATACCAATTGAAAAAAAAGTTAAATGAAGGATAAAATCTGAACATTCATCTTAATTATGTTCTAATGTGCTGGTTCTTTGCTTTAAATTAAGAAGCCTTAGAATCTAACATTATTTGTCTGTCAAAATAATCTCTCTTCTGCATAATCTAGCTGGTTTTTATTTCGTAGGTGTAGGTTCGGGAGGAGCAGCTCCACCGGTAGTTGGCCTGAAAGAGCAAACAGAAAAATGATTAACAGGCAATGAGAAACAAATCACAAAAACATGGGACATGTGATATGACATAGTACATCAGGGAGGAACTATAGGTATATGATGACCTCGTAGACGTGAACACCGAACGCAAGATAAGACCTCGTAGACACCGATAATAATTTAAGAAATTGTGGAGGAGGTACTTACAGTCCTACAAATACTTTAAATGAATCATAGAGACCCCACTGAGCTCCGGTTAGTGTTCCAATCATAACTATACGAAGAGGAAGGCCGCGAGTGAAAAGACCAACTACTCCAATCTTCTTCACTGCCTGCAAATTCATCAGTGAAAAGACTCAAGTAAGCAAACATTACACACATGAACATAACATGGTGGATGCTGTTTTTGTTCATGTATAGTATATATGTTTGTATGTATGAACGCATGCGTGCATAAACTCACATCACCAACAGTGGCTCCCTTGGCATTGTTGAGAAAAGAAACAAGATTATCAGCAGGGTGTGAGACAATTGCACACAGTACACCTGCAACATATCCTGCTGCAAAACTCACTCCAAGCTGCTTACTTTTGCTGCATTGTGCTTTTGGAGTTGGAATGGCATATTTGTAGATCATCTCCACAATAGTCTCAAAGGAAGCAAATTTCATCATAGTGTCTGACAGAACCCAAAATGTGTGTTAGGACAAAGAGCAAAGAAAATTTTAAAATTGCGTAATATAGCAAGCATGAAATTTTGCGTCCAACAAGATTCTCTTACATGGTATCTGACGGCCCCATAGAGGAACAAGTCCTCTATACAACCTGCACACCATATCAAATTCTGATCAAATTTGGAGTTCACAAAATCTAAAACTACTGATCTACTATGAGCACCGACACAACAAAAACACCAGACACGTCTTCAATGTAGCAGTGCTACACTCTAACAACATATCTCATGTATGTATGATAAGAAACAACAAAATGCTAGAGGCAATTAGCATTTAGGATAGAAAAACAGTACCCAGAAACACCATCAGCCTTGATAAACTTGGGCAACCCATCGGACAAACCTCGAGCAAAGCCAGGCTGAGTTTGTACGCGAACCTTGACAGCCTCCATAGGACAGAGGGCAACATCAGCAATAACTTCAGCAGAAGCAGAACCAGCTAGATAAATGAAAGTTTTGTACTTGACTGCATTCTCTACTCCTGCAAGATCTGAGTAATACTTTTTGAAGAATTCATAAAATCCAAACTTGCATGCTCCTTGAGCACTATAACCAAGCAAAGTTGGCACCCATCCTTTGAAGAAACCTCTAGCACCTTGCTCCTTAAGCAAAACTCCAAATCCTGATGTGATACTCTTATACTTTGCAGGGTCAATCTGATAAAAAATAACAACAAAGATCAAAATTTTCTATTTTATTTATCTTATGAAAACCAGAATAATATATTTTACGTATATTTTACGTACCTGCATGTTGCACTTGACAAGATCAAGAGGGGTGACAGCCATGTGAGTAAGGCCACAGCTGAAGACGCCACCGGCACTGCATGCAGCGTAGTAAGCCGGAGAAAACATGGGGATACTACTTTCGGCTGGTGAAGGGATCATCATAGGAATATTATTCCTACGTGGTGGTGGTGGTGATGATGGTGCATGGTTGAATGAAGAAGAATCCAAATGGGAGAGTGCATTTGATGAGTAAAGAAATCCAGGGAGAAGAGAGTTGCGAGATGATTTGTCAAACAAAGCCATTGTTTGTGTATATGTGAGTGTGTGTTTGTTTGTGTTTATGTTTCTAACTAGTTAACAAAAGGTGGAAAATGGGAAAGAGATGTTTGATTGGAAGAGGTGGATTTATGAGCGATAAAAGAGGAGGGTTTGTGGTTAAAAAATGGGAATGATGCATAGTTTTTAGGTGTGAAAATGAAGGGAGAGAAAGATAAGAAAAAAATATGAGCAAGAGAAGAGAGGTAATATATGGGTTGTGTCCATAATTTTCGTTTATCCTTTGAATGTGTAAAAGCTTCCAAGATTACATGTTAGTTGATGCACCACCTTCACTCTTCACTATATTACATATGTTCATTTTATTTAATCTAGTTTTAAATGTTTTAAGACATATATCTTACAATTCTTACACCATTTATTTTTACAATTTTTAATATCATTGTAAAAGTTAAAAAATAAAAAATAAATATTGTGTCCACCATTTTCAAATTATTATGTTACACTCTATACATTTATATAACGGTTTTGGCTTGAATAAAATTATTACAAGGCATACTAGTGCATCCTAATTTTAGAATGAGATAAATGTCCAATATTGGTTTTACAAGACTCCCTTTGTCACATAAAAATGTCATATTGAGCAATGTGTGGTTCTTAAAAAAATATTAGATGTGTTAATTTTAATGATAAAATTAATATTGTTTACTAAAATACTCTTATTAATTGAAATTAATAAAATAATTGAATAAAGTGAAAGTTAATAAATTTATAATATAAGAAAATTAGATGTTCTCGAAAAATCCTCTATACCATTATTTCTGGAGCTGCCATGTGTTCAAAGTAAGGATATTTGTTGTCCAAAATTTATTTTTTGATTGATGTCATTTTATTCCATTACAAACTTTTGGTTGCCAGAATTTAACAAAATGCTGATGTCACTAAGCTCTCTTTAGTTCCAAACCAACTAATACAAACCTACTTTTTCTACTTTTTCATATTTACTTAAGTCATATCATTTTTGAATTTCAAAATCTTTTCTCTTTCTTCCTCTATAAACTCTCTCTCTCTCTCTCTCTCACGCAGTCTATACTGTCTTCTTGCAAACAAAAATTAAAAGAATGGTTCAAACTGAAATCAAGAAAGAGAAAAACGTATCAATTGGAATGAGGAAGACGACATTGACTATGATGGTTTCGATAATTTTACGATGAAATACAATATCATGATGGTAGATCTGTGAGTTTCAAACCTAAATTTTAAAATTCATTCTCCTTTTTTTGAGGTTTTGAATATGGATTCAGTTGTTCTGTTTTTTTTTATATTTCATTTTTATATTAACAGCGGCTTCGGTGCCGATGTCTGAACAGAGGTATGATCGGAGAGAGTGGGGAGACACAGTGATGATGGTATAGTTGGAGATGGCGGAAATGATTTTTAATACCCGGTACTTTTGGTGCACAAGGAAGATAAAAGGCAAAGAAATATATTTACTGACAACTTCAAATAAGGATTTACAATGAATTATAATAACCTACTCCACTAAGCTATTTATACACAAAATTAAATCTAAAATGTATCTTCTAACAAAGATATAAGAAGACCTAATATATATATATATATATATATATATATATATATATATATATATATATATATATATATATATATATATATATATATATATATATATATATATATATATATATATATATATATATATATATATATATATATATATATATATTCTAACAAAGATATAAACAATCTAAAAGACATTCCTAAATATAAATTAATATCTAATTAATTATAAACCCTAAATTAATCCTAACACCATCCCTTAATTTATATTTACCCAAAACTGACAACACCAATTTCATTCCTTAAACCAAGAAATTGATCAGTTTTGATAGCCTTTGTCAGAACATCTGCCAGCTGCTTCTGGATGCTACAGTGTATAACTTCTAATATTCCATTATGAACTTGATTCCTTAGAAAATGATACTTAGTCTCAATATGCTTGCTTCTCCCATGTAACACTGGATTCTTGGCAAGATTGATTGCAAGATTGTTATCAGTCATCAACTTCAGAGGTTTATTTACCTCAATCTTCAAATCTTTCAGCAAGTTCATAATCCACACAGCTTGACACGCAGTCAGAGCGTC